ATTAATATTTAAATAATTTTATTAAAAATTAAATTTTTAATAAATTTTTTTAGAAATATTAAAAAAATTAGGGTACAAATAATTATTCACGAGTGTCAATAAAATTATTTATTATCAAATATTAAGAATATAAAAAAAATTTTAATTTTATTTTAAAAAATATATGTTACACAAGCTAATTCGAAGATAAAAAAATATAATAGTTAAATATAATAATATTTAATAAATTTAATGCCGTAATAAAATGTGTTAATTTGATATTTAAAATAAACAGTCAAATTAAGGAAATGGCATCAGAAAAATTAAAAAGGAAAAAGTTTTTATATATTGTATGAATTATTATTATTATTATTAAAAAAGCAACCTAACCAGTAACCAAGTCTGAACCAGGCGACGTGGCTAATACATGCAGGCTGTAGCAACATGAGCAGTGACTATTACCACACAAGACCTTCTCTTTTCTGGACTGACTAGGTTGGCCCTACTTAAAGCCAGCTTATTTGGCACTGTTCCCTATCCAAACCAAATAGCTCGAGCACCATCCTAGGTCTAGGTTACGCAAAGAGTATGTTGGAACTTTTAATATCTTGCAAGAAAGACTAGAAAGCATTTTATCTTTAATTCTCCTCCTTACAATTTTCCAATTAATTAAGCATTATAAAAATATTTTTATTAATTTTTTACATGAAATATAATATTTGATTTAATTATAATTTTTACTCATATTTACAATTTTATTTAATTACAATTTTTTAATTAAATCTGGTCAATTATTTTGACTTGATTTATCATTAAAAATATTTGATTGTGAGATTCTAATCTGGTTTATTCAATTTTTATTTTCACCATTCTCATAAAAAATTTAGTAAAAAAAGAAGGAAGAAAGAAAATAAATTAAAATAATAATAATAATAAAACTATGTACAATAATAATAATAATAATATAACAATAATATTATAATATATTACCATATAATATACTATGTTAATATATTATAAAAATATAATAAAATAATAAAAATAATTCTAAAAATAATTTTATTGACCTCAAACGCATATGGGTGTCTACACTCCTCCTTATAATTTTGCATTTAATTAAGCATTATAAAAATATTTTATTAATTTTTTACATAAAATATAATATTTGATTATAATTATAATTTTTACTCATATTTACAATTTTATATATAAAAAAGTTGTTATTGTGTTACAATTGAGCAAAGAACATTTCAATTTAAGAGTAAGGGAGAATTTTTTTACTTAAGAAAGAAAATTTTATTTTTTGAATAAAAGATCATGTATCAATTAATTGAATTAAATGCTTCAACATAAAATATGATCTTTAATAAAATTTATTACATGACAAAGATAATTATTTTTGAACTCAAAATTTAATTCAATTAATATAATAATTATTTTAAAAAAAACATAATATAATTTTAAGATTTAAATCTTAATACTTATTAAATTACGAATTTTTTTATTTATAAAAAAAGGATAACCACTCTTGGGATGGTGTGAGTGATCAAAACCTCCTTAATTATTACTTATTGGTGATCCACTTGAACTTTCAATTTTTTTTAGGTGGTGAAATTTCACATGACTTTGATATACTAATAAACAACAACATTAACAATGATTGCAACCACTTACACAATTGTAGATAGAATTATTGATAATGACTTGAGTCATGGGTCAAATATTATCCCACATCTTTTAGAAAGTGAAAACAAAGGGCATCCTTCCATGGCCCTACACTTTAATCTCCAGGTTTTGACAAGTCGTAATTCCAAGCAGATTCTCCGGTGATTTTGCTTTCCCTCTCTCACTAAATTACGTGAAAAGGAACCTCATTTGTGCGATTTCCAATAAGTCCTTTAATCCCAAGTCAAGGAAAACATGTTCTCCTTCCTCTCTACCCGACATGCCTCTGCCCTTTTTCTCATTTACAAGTTACTGCAACTTAAAATATATTTGACTAAACTTGAGTACATCAGTCAAAGATTATGATTTTTTTTAGTAAAATCAAACTCTTTAATCTTTTCTGACAAAAAAAAAAAACAAATTTCAAGTTTAAATGGATTTGGGGGGCTAATTAGCTTGATTCATTTGAAACTTGTTCCCCCTAGTTCGGCCTCTGATCAGAATGATATAATATTAATATCAAAATGATGTTCACCATGGTGTTTTGACCTTAATCAGTGATGTTGGACTCTAAAACTGGTTGTTACAAAAAATATTTATATCGAGACATGAGATACGTACATAATTTATTGATAAAATATTAAATATTTAATTTTAATAATTGAAATATAATTTTTAATAACCCCATATCCATATCTTATATATTTTAAAATTTGAATTCGAAACTCTTAAATTAAATTCTTTAAGTTTTAATTGTTACACTGTATTCATGAGATACAATTTTAATTTTTTGATACAAAAGAGACAAAATATTTTATAAATTTTGAGAACCGAACTCTTACTGTGATTCACTTCTGAAAAGGGGTGAATTAATTTTTAAGCTAAACTTTATATCCGTAACAATAACTTTTTAATGTAAAATTTTTTAATTTTATTTTTTTAATAAATTTTAAAAAGAGATTAAATCATTTTTTTACTTATTTTTCTCAATAATTAAAAAAATGATAAACTTTTAAATTTTGTATTGATATAAGTTATATAGATGGGGTTCAAATATGATATATATGACAAAAAAAAAAAAAAAGAAATGATGGTGAAATATTGCCTGCCAAACAAGGCGCTGCTATTGCCTATCAGGATGCATATAGTTTGCATGTATCTGTCACGAAACAATTTGTCATGATGTGACCACATGATGGAAAGAAAACAGAAACAAACATTTAAAAAAGCTTTCTAGAATTAATTTGTTTTTGCCGACAAAATTGGTTTATTGGCCTGTGGACAGGATAACCTGGGTGAGATTTATTGCATTTTTAAGCTAACGTTTCAACATCCAAATGCACGATAAGCAAGAGGCTTCAGACAAGGTTGAGTTAAGAAGGTTCACACAAGTAGAATAGTTTAGGTAAATATGATAATTTGTATATTTATTTTATGTAAAATATTAAAATATATATTTATATAATATTTTATATAAAAATTATATATCATAATTTATATTAATATAAAAATAAAAATATATTTTTTAATTTTATTAAATTTAAATATAATAATTATTAAAATTTTAAATTAAATTATTTTTATATTTTATATTTATATCATCATGTCGTAATATTTTATTTTAAATTATTATATCTAAATTTAGGTAAGTTTCAAGAGGGTAATATAGGCCACTTGCTCTATCTAGAATGTCATATATATGCAGGCCACTTTTCTTGACTGAATGCTCCTAATTGGATAAGCATACTCCTAATTAGATAAGCATATGTAAAAAAAGCCTGCCCCATGCATAGGACGTATAAAAATCTTCAGACTAGGAGATGGGACATCTTCATTTCCTAAATTTTAAGCTTACTTTTTAGCTTTTTTTTTTTTATTTTCTTCTTTATTTGAACACTAATTTAAACATCGAAACGTATCCTAGAGTTCCATCTTCAATATTTTTTTTAAATCTCTACTTTCTTTGATAAATCGAATGTGTAGTTACATGCAAATTCCATCTCATTGATCTAAAAAATACATCAACATATTAAAAGTTAATTGAATCTTAAGACAATATCTCATGTATAAAAAACGAATAATCTTTCTTCTTAAACTATTTTTTCACTTAATCCGATCAAAAAAAAAAAAAAAAAAAAAACATTGATCGTGTAGCATTGGGACAAGTAGTACAATATTTGAAAATTTTTTATGATACCATAGTTTAAAGTTGGTTTAATGTTCCTATTTTATTGGTAAGTTGAGAGTTTTATAAATGAATCCCATCAACTTTAATTGAAAATTTTAGTGTTGTTTAAAGATACAATAGAAATTAAATGTGTTGGTTTTTTTTTTTTTTAGTTGGAAACGTTAACTGAGCTCGAGGGTTTTATATATATATATATATATATGGTTTGTTTTGATACTATGATATAATAATTTTTTAACTTTACAAGTAACTTTAAAAATTTGTCATATATTTTATTTTTTTAATTAATTTATATATAAAAAGAGTTCATTTTCATTATTTTTATTTAATTTTTTAATTTTATAAGTGAAATTAAAAGATTGTTACATATTTTTTAACTATTTTTTATTTTTATTATATTCTAAAAAATATGTATTATCTTGTTAATTTTTATATTCTCTTGTCCCATTTGTTTGTCCATTTTTTTTCAAAAATCTCAAAATTATGTCATTTTTTAAATATTTAAAGCTTTTATTTTTGATCTTTTAAAATTTTTTAATTATTTTTTATTTTTTGAAATTAAAAATCAAGATACTTTAATTTTATAAAAAATTAAATTTTAATATTAAATATTAAATATATTAAAATAAAATTTTTATAAAAATCAATAACATTGAAATAATTTTAGAGAGAGAATATGTTCTTGAAATTTCATGAGTGTAATCTCTAATATAAGTAATATCTTGTCCTTGTATTTTCTTTTGACGACACATATAGTACAATGCTTTTTCCTTTTATCACAATCAAAAGTTACTCAACTTTATTAAATCCAAAATTGTATTATATTTTTTAAGTTTCCTACTATTTTATTAATATTTAGTAGTACAATTTTTTTTAAAGTAATGATTAAAAAACATGTTGATTATGTTTATGTTATGTGTGTGGCATTTTGCAATTAAAATATTTTTTTCCCATAAAAGGGCTCAATCAGAGTTTCCCCAGAACACAAAGTGGTCCCTGCAAATCCCAAGGTCACCTAGAACAAGGCCAAGAACCACTTCACAGCCACGTGTCAGTCATCAAAATTGAAAATTGGTCCACCCCACTGGCGATACCCGGTAGTTAGTCGGTCTTCACATATTTCCCTGTTTTCCACAGGAAAAATAGAAGAGTTAACAAAACGATAGGTGTTTTCGCTTTATATGGGTTTGCCTTGGTTTCTTTGGTGGTAATCATCCAATTCCTTGTTTCTTTTTTTCACTTACAAAAACCCTGTTTGGTGTTTGATCCTGGAAGAAGGCAGGAGATGACAGGCGTCCTGGAGAATGGGAGGGTTACCCTGGAAGAGCTCAAGGAGAAAATGGCTGAGTTTGCCAGGGAAAGGGACTGGGATCAGTTTCACAGCCCTAGGAATCTCCTGTTGGCCCTGGTAAAAGCACTTAAAACCTAAAACATTTTTATATAATATACCTATTTGAAAATCTCAATCTCCCATTTGATTCAATTTTTTTTGTGTTAGTCTTCTTTCTGCATCTATTGTTTTTTTAAGTTGACTTTGGGTTGATTTTTAAGACTTTTTGGCCCATACCCATTTTTTCCATTTTGTATTGTTTTCTTTTTGAGTGAAAATACCTTTGCTTTGTGGTATGATAAGCAAAGGACTAACAAACTGTTTTTATTGTGTGTTTTTTGACAAAGATTCAAGGGAATTAATAGAAAACAATAGCAAAGTGGCATTGGTTTGAATCAGTTGAATAAAGAAGCCAGAAGAACAGTGGCCCCGTAGAATTAATTCTTCATCCACTTGTTCAGAATCTCTATCCACACTCAACAAGACCAAAAACAGTAGCATTTATTACTTTTATTTTTAACTATGGTATGGAAGAATGGTGGTTGTTCGTTTTGTTGGGTATCAAAGAGTACCCAGTTATAATAATCCCACTTAAAATCCATTTTTTATTGTGTTCTTGAAAACCATTCCGGAATTTTGGTCTTTGTTTGGATTCTGAGAGATTCACCGCTATTCCATCAGTTGTACAATCAAGAAGTAACGTCATGAAAAAGTAATGAAAACAGTAGCACTAGTACCACCTGTTTGATTCTCTTATCTTTTGTCTGTGCCTTCCTTATGTTTGAATCACTGTTGCAAGTGAATAAAGACAGCCAAAGGTGTGATGTTAATCACTTCTGGATCACAAAATGATAAGTAAAACATGAATAAACGAATCTTTACACTGGTTGCTTCCTATGATTTAACTCATGTCAAGACCCCACTTTTTTTTCTGATCACTCGCAAAAGGCCCAATCTTGGAGCTGTTCCTTGTTCCTTTGTCAGTCACCTAGTTTCCTATGATGTACCCTTTACTTGTATGAACCTATTTCAGGTAGGAGAAGTGGGGGAATTGTCTGAGATATTTCAGTGGAAAGGAGAGGTACCAAGAGGACTTCCTGATTGGAAAGATGAAGAGAAACAACACCTGGGTGAGGAGCTATCAGATGTGTTGCTATACCTTGTTAGGCTTTCTGATATATGTGGTGTTGATCTTGGTAATGCTGCTTTGAGAAAGATGGAGATGAATGCCATTAAATACCCAGTCAAGCTCTGCAAAGGGTCTTCCAAAAAGCACACGCAAATCAATGTGGATAACAGCAATGTTAATGGTGAAAGTGGGGGTGCTGCTACCGATCAGGGCATTAACAGTTACATCAAGAGTACTAGCGCAGGTGATGATGTTTGATGTGGCTAGGATTTTATTGTTGCCACTAGACTGAGACTGGAATGCATGGATTCTTAGCCATTTCTCTCTCATTGATATTTGAATGGTTAATTAATCTCATCTCATATGTAAGGGCTTTAGTTATTAACCTTATTTCATCTCATGTTATTGGAATGATTAATCTCATTTCATATATTAGTAAATGACTTTATAATTTTGTTCTGTTGGTCCCTCTCTCTATCCGAAGTATGATTTGGTGGGGCAACAGGATCTGGTGAAGAGTTTTAAGACTATAATATATATTTATTTATATAGAGGGGTTGGTTTTTTCTTTTGCATGAGCACAATCTGGGGTGGCGTGCCACTATTGCTTGGAGATAGTAGTAGCAAAATAGTTAGTGGTCGATAGGGTATCAGAGATTTTATTACTGCTTTGGTCATTGTCTTGCGACAGTACTGTATCCTCCTGCCTGGAGGTAGTGATGTTCAGTGAAATGTCAACATTTTTCATGTTTTCTCGAGAAGGGTGTCCATGAATTGATTGTTCTGGTTTCTTTTGGACATTTGCCTAGATAAGAGAGGTTATTCTCCTAACGTTTATGTTCTTTCCCTTTGCTGATTGAAAAATTGGAGGCAAAGGATCTTAATACCATTGTTATTTGCCTTTATAGAGGAACCCATAAGACACAACAAGAACACAATTTTAGTGCTTAATATTTATTTTTGTAATTTCTGTTAGGCAATGTTTCAAAAAGTAGGATTTCTCACAAGTTATTTACGAGCTAATCACATGGTCCAGCCAGGCCATTCGTAGCTTGGAAAGATAAACGATAAACATAGATTGAAGTATATATTTATCATTAAACCAAATGCTTTATTCCAATCGTTTTACAATTTTAAATGCTGTGAAAAAGGCATTCTATGGAGGCCTTGACATCATACATGGGGAAATGGCTTCCTTTTGCAGACATAACCTGAAGGTAAAACCTCAAGCATTTCTCAAAAGAGTTTGTTTTTGATATATTAATAGTGTAATTTTTAAATTTTATAAGTGAGGTTAAGAGATTGTTAAATGTTTTATTTTTTTTAATAAATTATTATTATTATTATTCTAAAAGATATATCATTTTATTAAGTCTGACAGTGAAATTTAAAAATTCTATTATCAGTGGATGTGATAAATTTTTTTAAAAATATATGATACTTATTACTGCTGTTGCCTTTATCATATTTTAATAGAGAAATTTTAATGAATGCTGAATGATCGCTTAGAAATGAGAATCAAGTGGCATGGTAGTCTCTCAAATCTTTTGCATGAATTTTTCTGCCCTAAATTCTCGAAGCTCAACAGCCTCGGCTTCTTAATACTCGGGATGTCAATGGGGTGAGTTTGAAAGGATAGAGCATTTTCTATTCTCAATTATATAATTTGTCCCCATTCCTGTTCTTATTTTTGAATTCTTAATTTATCCCTATCTCCATTATTATGGTTATCTGACGGGTATGAGAATTCTTAATTTTTAAAATTTTTTTTTAAAATTTTTTAAAATAAATAAAAACTTAACAATACACATATGAAATAAAATATGACACACATGTTAATACAAATACAAATCTAAATCATAAAGATTTACCAAATAAAATTTATAAAAGAAGTTTAGTACAAATGATAATTCAAAATGAAATTTTCTTGATAATTTCACTCGATGGACCCATAAATGCATAATAAAAAACCTGTTGAAAATCAAATAATAATAATAATAATAATAATAATAATAATAATAATATTGTTAAACAATTTAATTTAGACCTAATACATAAAATTTCTTTTATCAATGTGTATGTAATATATATCTATTGCAACTCTTTCTTCAATTTTAGAATCATCATCAATAGTGTCATGGTATGCATCATTTTTATTTGAAGATCGACCTAAAAAAATATCATTTAAAGTTGTACATAATATAAATAATAAAGTAATGAAATCATTAATGCTTTTCAATTAAATTCATTACCTTCTATATCTTTTAACAACAAAATTTGAGCACAAATTAGAGCTTCTAAAGTATTTGCATGAACTCACCAATCTACCACTAGTGCTGAAAGCAAATTCTAAAGCTATGGTGGAAATTGGAATAGCCAAGATATCCCTAGCAATCCTTTGTGAAGTTGGATAACGAAGTTCACCACTTTTCCACCAAGACAATATATCAAAATATGGAGTTTTGGGTAAAACTTTCTCTTCCAAATAATGATTTAACTCAAATTTAGCCAATAAATAATCTAAATTGCAAACAAAAGAATCATATCCATCAAAGAAGTTATGACTAACAAGATTATTCACTCTGGAGATATTAGATGAAACTCCATATCCATAATACATTTTCTTAGGTCTTGAAGACCTTTGATATTCATTCAATAAGTCATAACAAAGGTTTTTAATCTTTGAATTTCAAAATCAATTGATTTTCCATAAAATTGAGGAAAGAAATATTGTAACAACTTTAACTTATATCTTGGATCAAAGACAATAGCCACTCCCATAATTTCAAGAATTGTCTCCCAACATTTATCAAACTTATATAACATACTTGTACCCATATTTCTAATAATTTCAATAGGAGATGAAGTCTAAGTGGCTAAAGAAAGTTTGACTAGCATGTCAATGGAAAAAACATTGGATGTCGGATATTTCTCCCTAAAAATGCATTAGTGGCATTATAAAATACCTTCAACCTTTCACAAATCGCCTTAGCTAGCATCCAATTTTGTTTGGTTACTATAATAGTATATAAATGCTCTTGTAGCAAATGATAAAAAACATCCTCATATATCAAAGCAACACTAAGCTTCAAATATTTGGAATTCCATTGAGTCTTATAATCAAGGACTAGCTTTTTGGAAGAATCAATGTGCCAATGTCTCACATTTTCTCTAAAAGTTTGTTCTTTTTTTGGTATGGCTATCCCAAAAGCAACACTATCTTTAACATTTTCTATTCCATCACCCATAACCTTTACCCATCTTGCACAATCAAATTCAAAATATATGCACAACAAAGCATGTGAAACAACTTTCCACCTAATAAGAGATGATTACGATTTAACCTAATCATGATGATGTCAATTATCACATCATTAATAGAACAATTATCAACAATCAATGTGGACAATTTTCTATCAATATTTCAATCAAACAAGCAATTTAATAACTCGTTGGAAAGAGTAATTGCTGTATATAGAGAAAGCATGTAGACAAACCTAAAATTTAAATATAACAAGTATAAGACTAGTAAGGCAAAACAAACTTATAAAACAAACTATTGTATTTAACAAAATATAGTAATATACCTTATGACTAAATTTTGCAAATCGTAATTGTTATTAATGAAATGTGCTATGACAGCCATGAATCCTTCCTTTTTTGTTTGAAGTTGTCAACATATTTGTAGTTATTGCAACCATACTTGAATTTTTCTCCACAATTCTGAAGCTTTAAACTTTTTTGATTCATAAATCTTAATGATGTCACTTCTTATTGTATTTTGAGAAAGAATCTTGAATAATGGTTTAAGACTAGTTGAATACTTTTTGAATCCATAATGTTCAACTATTGAGATTGGATATTCATGCATTATTATCATACTAGCAAGGTCTTTTCTCAAAGATTTTTTATCAAATGTGTAATTACTTATAACCATATTTTCATTTGCCTTCCGTTGTTGTTGCACAAATGTTTGTTGCCTTACATTCTTATAAGGACTAAGTTTACAAATGTTGTTACAATTGGGCAAATGGTTTGTTCCATCCATGTTCTTTCCTCCAAACCTATTGTGGCAATAATTGTACTCCACTTTGTCAATTCCATCAACTTTGATCTTCTTAAAATGCTGCCAAACCTCCTATTTCAATCTTTTTTTTTTTCATTTGTTGGGTCTCTTTCCTCATTGTTTGACATAAAAGTTTTACGTTCATTGTCCACAACTTCAATTGGTGACTTAGTAGGCAAGTTAATAGGAGTTGATGAATCGTTACTTTCTATTGGAGCCTAAGTAGGAACAATATCTAAAAAAGTAAAATATGAAGAAATTAAATCACTATATTATGTAGAATTGGTAGATCTTAATAAGATCAAATTAAACTCACAATAAATTAAAACTATTCTCTTTATCACAATGTATTAACTCAGAAAAATAATTGATTAAAAATTAAAAACCAAAGCATGCACATATAAAAAAGTTCGTTGAAACTCAGATAACTACCAATCTATTATCATTTTCTTTGTATTTTAACAAATTTTCTTTAGTTGGCTGTACATAGGTGTTAGTCATCTAATAAAGGATTGTTTTCTTCTTGTAACTTTGATCCATTCATATTCTGTGAAAACAATTTTGACTTCAGGCGTTTTACTTGTAAAGGTCATTTACGTGGCTCGATTGCTTTTTGATTTTTTTTTTTTTTTTGTTTTGATACCTTTCAATTGGCATTTTTGTCAGTATATACTTTTTTTTTTGTCTTCCCCTATTGCCAAATTCAGTTTTGAAAGATATTGAGGCCTTGTACATGCAATAAGCATTTGACTGGATGGGATTAAGCAACAAAATAATTAACCTAAGCTACAAGTTCAAAGCCTATATATTTATTTTGAGAGATGGGTCGTTCCCTACTTGGAAATGTCTCCATCAATTATAATCTGGTTCTTGTCTAAGAGTAATGTTCTGTCCTTTCTATTGGAATTCCTCACATCTTTTTGTCTCCCGTTATTTTCACATGGTTGGTTGTCACTTTTCAATGACGTTTTGGGTAAAAGATGGTTTAAGTGTAATAATTCATGTGATTAGATAAATAGTATATTTTTATTAGCAAGAGATGAACAAAAGAAGATGAGTCAAAGTGCAATAAGCAAAGAAAAGTTAAAAGCAAAGTTTTTAAGCGATACCTACAGTTAACCAAGGTGGAGGTGTAGAAGACCAATAAGACGTTTGATTAGAGAACTAAAGAATAAAGATTAAAGAAAAATTTTCTAGAGACAGAGAAACAGAGGCAAAATAAGAAAAGGCTTTAGTTTTTATCAAGTATAAAATAATAAAAAGATGTAACCCTAAAAGTTAATTAATTTTAAAAAAAATTTATTTACTAAATATATATAATTATATATAAATATATTGGGTATAGATGCAAGATGGATGTTATATCATCTGTCTTCATTTTATACTCGACGGGTATTTCAAAGTTATATACATCTTCGATTTCATTTTTAAAATTTAATATTTATATCTGTCTTTATTCGAATAAAAAATCAAAATTTTCATCAAATTTGAATAATATCCTTACTTAATACAATAAACTTATGCTAATTAATCACAATTCAAGTCACGAATGAACAAGATAATTTCCC